TGGTACAGGTTGCCCAGAGAGGTGGTAGATGCCCCATCCTTGGCAACACTGAAGGTCAGGTCGGACGGGGCTCTGAGCAGCCTGATCTAGTTGAAGATGTCCCTGCTCATTGCAGGGGGGTTGGACTAGATGACCTTTAAACGTCCCTTCCAATCCATAGCATTCTATGATTCTATGTTTCTAGGTGATTCATAATTTATTTTGGCAAATATCTAAACATTGTAAATATCTAAAGATCTTCAGCTTTTGGACCTTTTTGTTGAACTTCCCAATTTAATAAAAGTTCTCATATTAGATCTGAGTTTCATCTTGTGGTATCTTACCTACCTCTGTGTCTTTCCTCTTGCTGGCAAGAAATAAGGAAGAAAAAATTGCACCAGGAGTATTTGCACACAACCACTCATCTTGCTCTTCATGTGCAATGGAATTCTTTAAACATAAATATAGTATTTACATTCTACATAGTATTAAGCAACTATGCCAACCTGTTACTACCATAGACAATATTAAATCTTTAACTCAAAACATCAGTTTCAGTGGGTTAGAGTGCTGAGCAAATAATTCCTCTGTTGAGACAGAGCAGGGCTAGTTTGCTTGTTTCAACAGCAGTCATCCAAATCACATTCAGACAAGTCAATTTATTTTATTATTAGCTAATTCAGTCCTTACATGCATCTAATTTATTTTGAAAATCGATTTTACTCATAGATTAAGGATAATGTCATGAGGTAAAGCTGCTTATAATTATGGGAACTGATGTGTGAGTAAGCACAACCAGGTATTAAAGACATTGTGAATTTTTTTAGTTCATAAGAGAAAACAGCAATTCTTGGGCTTATTTTTTTCCAGTATGGAAAATTAAATAAAATCTAATTGTTTACTTTTGTCTTACTCATTCTCAGCTGCATATGGCACATATTGCGTATGTTTTTAGGGGTTGTTTTATGATATGTGTGGCAAATCATGGAACATAAAATGCTTTAAAAGGCTTTTTTTTACAGATAACCTGGGCTTGCAGCACTCCAGTATCTCAAACCTTAATGAGATGACACAGAGGACATAAAGTTCAATAAATGAAGTGATAGCAAGAATAGTCATTCCTTCTTTCTTTTTTCATTCTACAAAGTCTACTCTCTTCTGTACTGTAAATTTGAAGTGAGGCTCTTGACATTAAGTGTGGTATTTATCTCATGTAATTTTAAATGTTAGGGATTTTGTCCAAACTAGACATGTGCACTTTCTTAGACAAGCATTTCCAGAAGGTAATTTGGATATACTATTCTCTCTTCCTTAAATACAGAGAAAGCTGAAACCTGTATCATACTGTAAAGTTGAAGTGAGGCTCTTGACATTGTGTGGTATTTATCTCATGTAATTTTAAATGTTAGGGATTTTGTCCAAACTAGACATGTGCACTTTCTTAGACAAGCATTTCCAGAAGGTAATTTGGATATACTATTCTCTCTTCCTTAAATACAGAGAAAGCTGAAACCTGTATCACATATTTAACCCTTAGTTAAAATAAAGCATGATAATCTTCCTGTAAGAGAGTCTGGATTTACCTGACTGTAGCTGTGCAACATGAGCTGGAGTCTCAGCTGAGCCCACTGAACCCAGAACCCAAGCCTCCTCCTGGAAATGAACCTTCTGAGGCAGCTGGAGTACCATCACTAGCAACAATATGAATGCTAATGGCAATTTGTCTCCCATTTCTTCAAGTGTTACGATTCAGGACGGAGGGTACAATGATGGCACAGCCCACTCCCACAACTGATGAGGGACCTATTATTATATACTTGTTTTTTCTTGTTTTGCAGCAGCATCTAGAAACCTCTGTGCTGGTCTCTTTTCCCAAGTAACAAGTGATAGGACAAGAGGAAACAACCTCAAGTTGTGCCAGGGGAGGTTTAGATTGGGTATTAGGAAAAATTTCTTCATTGAAATGGTTGTCAAACACTGGAAGAGGCTGCCCAGGGAAGTGGTTGAGTCACCATCCCTGGAGGTATTTAAAAGACGTGTAGATGTGGTGTATGGTTTAGTGGTGGACATGGCAGTGCTAGGTTAACGGTTGGACTTGATGATCTTAAAGGTCTTTTCCAACCTAAATGATTCTGTGATTCTGCAATTCTATGATTCTATCACACAGGCAGGGAACACATGCTAAGAAGGAAAGAGCTGATGTTCTTAAGCAGGACTTCTGTATCACATAGCAGAAAATTTGGAACAGGTCAAAAAAGACCACTATGTTTACTGGGAGAGGCAATTACTAATAATTACACATTACTTCACAGTTAACATTTAACAGCCTCCCTAATTCAAATATACCTGTTTTCTTCTGCTCATGGAAGTTGTCACAAGTAGAGAGGGAGTTTTATACCTGATCTGAGATGTTATTTTGTATGGAACCTGAAATAGACCATTCCTGTAATTTATTTAATGAAATTATCTGTATAGACTGCTACCTGTCTTTTCAATGTACTCATCCTCACATTTTGCATAATCAATTCTCTAATTTGAATACAGAAAAGTAGAAGAAAATAGAAAATTCTGAAAGGGCATAGTACACTGTAATTTTGTTAGTCTTTTATAACAATGTCTCTGAAAGACAGGTCACTAAACCATGTTAGGATACTTGTGCATCACTGTCTTCATATGGCTAGTACAAGAATAAGCAAAAATGCTATAAATTAACATTTACTCTCCCTATCTAATTTGATATACTGATTACAAGCACGTCTTAATTTTCTATGTTCTTTAGAAGATATATCTTTTCATGTTGGCTTATAGAGTAGTTATAATCTGTAATTCATGCAGGAGTTGTGGAATATTCTTCACTTAGGAGTAAAAATAATCTTTTAACTTTTTCCTCATTTACGAAGTTATTAACACTTTATCAGTTTTTTAAAAAGTCATATATTTCAAGTGATTAGTCAGAAATGGTGGATATATAGTTATGTGGAAATTCACTGGAAAAGTAGATTTAATGGGAAGTCAAATCTAAGATCAACTCACTTCACTCAAATGATTCACATCCTGTGAATCATGTGCAAGAGATTTTTAATGCATGTCCATTTGTATATTTGCCTTATTTGTTCTAAAGTGTCCTTAATCTCACTAAATCTTTAAATTAAAACACAGAAAAATAGAGAAGTAATTGAATCTTAATAAGGTAAACAGCTGATTAAATAAAATGGAGCAAGTGTTCCCTTAACCAGTACTTAGGGCACTCAGGGTTCTGGAAGGGCTCCCAGATACAGCACCATTTAGAAGGTGCTTTACTCAGGAGGAACCACTTGCACGTAAGAAACAGAAAAACATTAGTGTGGAAGACCATATGCAAAAGAAAATAATGATGGATATTACTGAAATACAGGGAGGGGGGAGGGGCTGGCAGTAAAACATACAGGGCTATATATGCCTATGAATCCATATGTTCAGAAACTACAGTGGATATATCCTAGGGTCCTAATCCTGCAAACACTTCTGCACACGCATTCAATTCCATAGTAAAAAAATCCCAAGCTCCAAGACCAGAAGACCAAACCTCCATATACTAGAAGGGCTTGCTGAATGATAAAGGGAGAAGGATTTGAATGCTCTTCAAGACCTACAGTTTGCATACTTTAACAAAAAAAAATTACCATTTTGCTTTAAAAAAGGCAAAATAGTACGAATTTTCCTTTCAGAATGTTTATGCATAAACTATTTCATGTTGAAGATAATTGTAAGAAGGTTAGCAGTAGTTTTTTGATGGATAAATGCCTAATAATTCCACTGTAATGAAAATATATTTTCAATGAAAGATGGTAACAGTTTTACTAAGGGATAGTTACTAGAGCTTCTGTTGGAAACAATAAGATCTTTATTGTCATCTTTAGGAAGGGTAAAATGGTAATACTATTTGCATAAAGCAAATAATAAGAAGACAGCAATTTAAGTTCATTAAAGGCCTCTCATATTCTTTCAGGAACTCAATCCATCACAGAATTTTAGCACGCAAGTTGAGCCAAATCATCAAGTTTACTTATGAACGTGATGTTAAGCACATGTTCAAGTCCTCTGCTGCCTAAGAATCAACTGCTTTCAAAAACACCACAAATTGTGATGTGAGTATCAATAGCAAATCGCAGTGAAAAGTTTTCCAAAGGTCAATGTCAGAAAGAAGCTAAAACAGCTGGAAAACTTAAGATCCCATCAGCCCTGCTGGGCAGTGATATAAAGTTATTTTAATTAGTATCTTTATTTTTCTAATGAGCCGCCTTCTCCTTCTGTTCCTGCTTCCTGTAGACCTCTCCATTTCCCTGGCTTTTAACATTGCTAAAGATGGATGCTCGAGTCATTTGGTATCACTCATCAGTATTGATCTACCCGACAGTGCTGTATCCTGTTACATATTTTCACATGAGAGAGGGACAAAAATCTGTTGACACAGCACATGGCTAGATTAACCTTGAATGCCAATGGATGCTGAACAGAAGAGCCACGGACTCATTCATAATCTTAACTATCACCAAGTTGTCAAGTTCTGTATCAGCACTGCAAGCCTATAAACCATTTGATATGTAGATCTGTAGATGATATGTATGAAACCATTTGACAGTAGATCTTGTACTGTTTTCAATATGTCACAGAAATTATGACCGACTCGTATCTGAGAAGCTCATGCTCAGAAACAAGATGGCCTGGGAATGAGCCAAAATATCTCTACCAGGCTTGCAGGAAGGTAAACAAGGCAATTCCAGGTTTCTGAGCATTATGATCACAAAACACATTATGATTATTTAAATGTCAGACACTCTGCAGTAGCATGAAATGGTCTTCTAAGATCCAAGCAGGCACAAAGCAGACAGGTAAACAGTTATTAAGCATATTCATCCACTTGGTATTTAGATGAAAATGCCTATCTCTCTTTAGCAATTGTGAACAATGCCGTATGTTGTGGTAAAAAGCTTTAAATAATGTAGATTCTGGTCCTCTGTTAAAAAAAGGTATTTTTGAACCTACTGTTCTGGAGAAAACACAAACTATATATAATTTAGGGTTTGGGGGTTGGATTATTTTTACTTCTCTCATAATCAAGTGGGAAAAATTGCACTTGGCATTCATGGGAAGCTTATGTGCTGAAGCAGTGGAAGTTCATGTCCACAAAACTCATGATGTAGCATTTCATGGTCTAGAAAGAAGATTCCATCATCCTGATGGAGAAGAGCTACCAGTGTAAGCCAGCAAGACACAAAAGGGATGTCAATTACTACGAACTAGTTAGTACTCAAACAGAAAAAGTAACCACTCAAGCTGTTGTGCTTCCTATTATACGAAAAGGTTAGATTGTCTTTGGGAAGGCTGCCTCTACTTTTCTGGACTGAAAAGAGCGGGAGTAGTATTCCTATCCCACATGTGTCAGTGACGTCCTTGAATAGCCACATAGTTAATTTTGTAGTTTCCCCTTCACAGCAAGTTTCAACTATGAAAGGCTCCAACCCTTGGCAAAGCAAGTTTCTCCACTTATGCCTAAGAATGACAGGGTTCAGTTTCCTTGTCTTCTCAGGCTGCCAGGAGGAATGCCAGCCAATACCAAGCATAGTACTTCTAAACATACTCACATTTGCCTATCAGATACTTGAATCATTTAAGTGGTTCTTCCTCAAAAACGTAAGTGTTATTTCAAAAGTGACTTAAGAGCCTAACGTGCTGATCTCATGGGAAAGCCAGTACTCGGCAAATTAGGAATGAAGGTGAAGTGCGACAGCTGCTCCGCACAACCTCCCCACACAAGCGTTCCAGGTGCATATGAAATATCAGCAACGTACTCAGAAATCCAGCACGCTGTCTAATCGCATCCTCGTGTACACATCGAAATAACTGCCCTGCACTGAGAGGCCGTGTCCTACCAGCTTTCACTGAAGCTTGGGGTCCTAGGGATTTTTCAAAATAAGGCATTAGGTTCCCTAAAAAGCTGAAGTGCTTTTGACATTTTTGCCCCTGGATTATTAGCTCATTGTGCACAACCCAAAATAGTCACTAGAGTGACAAGCTGCCTTTTGAGGCTTGAGCTGACCCAAACTCAGGTACTGCCTAGCTCTGCACTATGAAATCCTAAGGTAAAAAGTAGAATAGTATCATTAGAAGGAGGCACACAGTAATATGTAGAGGGACACAGTAACATTTTTTGCTATCGATTCCTCTTATAGCCAAAGGTAATCAAATATTCATTAAGCACAATAAAATATGGGGCCTTTGCAGCTTTTAATTAGTCTTTTGGAGGAAGAAACAACACAAGCCCGTCGCTGAGACACTCTCAATTCTTTTGGTGCAAGGTTATTATCCCAAGTGAAGATACACTTTGGTTGATTTATTATATGGGATGTACTGGATGAAAGAAAAGTTTAAAATTCAGACTTAGCAATAGGATGTGAATTTAATGGGGAGCCAAAGGCAACTTAGAAGTATGTTTGAGAGAGAGTCCAGGTGTCAGGGGAAAGAGGAGAAGAATCAAATATTAACAGCAATAGGCATGAAATAACATTTTTGGCAGTGGATTGACAATCATCACAACGTTCCCCGAGGAGTGATTTGCTGCTGTCGTTTGCCTTGCACTGCTCAAAGTGCACTCTGAAAGGCAACCCTTATTATAACTGTTCTATCAGTAAGTCAAAGACCAAACTACTTACAGCTTTTTCATTAATGTATATCTGCAAGACTACATTTCAAGAACTGATTTACCTGGAAAATAAATATTTCTCCTGTCTCATCGCAGATGATCTCTGCCTAAACTGCCGATGCACTGATTTGTATAGTATTTGCTTCCCTTCAGTCAAGTAAGTGCAGATTCCCCACTGCTGGGAAATTGCCAGTCATTGTAACAATTATCAACTTCTGCCCTTGATTGCCACAAAACCGGACTGGCTAAAAGTCAGCGGTTTTATTCCAAGGCAAACTCCAAATTTCTAAAAAATATGTATTTCAGTTTGGCAAAAAGATATTTTTAAATTTCCTGCAGCAGGAAAAAGATCAATTTGAAAACAGGTAAAAATCATTAGCTTATAGAGTGTCAGAAGACCTGTCACCCTTTCAGGCAAAATTCTGAACATCACAAGTCAGTGTAGCTCCAGGTTTTCAGCTTCTTAGCCCCTTGTTTCCCAAATACTTCTAGCTGGTAAGTCTGAAAGCTCTCAATGCTCAATCAAATGCACGAATTCTGAATACTTTCAGGTTTTTTGTCTGATATCTTTGAACTTGGGACAGATCATATGGTGAGACATCCCAAAGGAAATTACCCTGGAAGCTATCGATTTCCTGGCTCCAGAGCAGTTAATATATTAGGTCTGTTTAGAAACCATGGGTTGCAAAAACCTTGACTGGTGGCTCCAGAGTCACAGATCGGTTTGCCCAAAGGCAACTGAAATGGTAGAACCACCTAGAAGTGTGGATCCAGCACCACCAGAGGCAAGGGGAACCAAATACACTTCCAAAGAAACCTCATGTTTTGTTAAAAAGTGCCAGAGCAACTTTTTAATATTCTGCTTTCAACACCTGCTCCCAGCTAATTTTACTTTTTACTCTGGTCCTTGGTCTGTCTTGCATTGAAATGAGAACTCATGATCTTTACTCAAAAACTGTCCCCAATTCCCACATTCCCCATTACTTTGACACTGCCAGCATTCCCCTTGAATAGTATGTGTGCAAGAATAACTCCTAAAACTTGACCTGATCACCCTGATAGTGCTCCTTCTTTCTCTGCAGTATCTATCTTTCACTTTTAACTGTACTGTGAACACTCCCAAGCAATCCCTTATATTTCGTCTTGGTTACTGCAGCTACGTATTTTCTGGTTTCCATGACATTTTCATTGCCAGGAAATACATTAAAAAGGAAAATTTGCTAAGATGAACTGCCAGCAGCTCTAGCACTCATTTGAAATGAGAAACCCTCCAGCAAGATTCAAGTGCTGGTGCAGAGCAAAGACTACAACATCAGATTTATATAATCCATAAGTGTGCCCTAATCCCTAGATGATAGGAGCAGATTTTCTCTCAACTCAAATGGGTATTTAATTATTTACGCAAAGTAGAGCAGGTCCAAGAGCACAGAGTGTGTGCTACTCAGCCTTGCAATAATACACCAGAAATAACAAACTGCCTCTGATTGTGTAAGACTATGAATCTTCCACATTGGAGGATGGTTCTGTACCTTCAGAGGTGGCAGTAGGTCTTAATCTTTGGCCTTTGATGAAAAATACAAGCAAGTCCTGGATTTATTCCATAACAGAAGATAAGTTAGGAAGTTTCTGTGAACTGGGAATAGCACTGTTAGAACCTTGCCCCATTCAAAACCCTTCACACCAATGTCCCCTACTCTTTTTACAGGAATCATAGCCTAACAGCCAACTACAGTCAAGCGAAAGATCAAACGAACATTGCTATGAATATAGCAATGCCTACTCCAACTGCATGCAATATCATCAGACTCTTCTTTGTTCTTCCTATGTATGTCACTTACTTGTGACACTCATAGCACACAACCTTTCCATGTCATTCTAAGGCACCTGCCAGGAGGTGCATTCTGGTGCCAAGACTTCTGGCTTCTGGGCACAACTGCAATGTGCACAACACACAAGCAATAGCATTAATCATCTTACCCATCAAGAAATTAACTGAATGTTTGTCCTCAGTGACTGACTCAACTTTTTAATCAACCAATGCCCAGCACTTGCTTGGATACTGCAGCTGATAATTTTGTTTGACATCACCACGCCCAGAGTGAAATCACATGTGTAACATTACTAATGGTAGTTGACAGCCTCTTTCTTCAGGATGAGCCCAGTATTAAAGTGATGAATTTTAATTTTTTATTTTGGTGCCACTAGCAACCCTCATATCTTAACAAAGAAAACATCCTTGAAACACATAATAAATACATTGTAAGCATGAGATCACAACACTTTAAAGGTCTTGATTTTTATTAGGTACCAGTATATCCTCCAGAAAACTCAGACATGGAGTAAAGAACTAATTTCAAACTCTTCATAGAATAAAATAGTGCTTTCATTAAACCAAAAAGCACTCCTGTGAGCTATGGAGTAATTTCTTAAAAGGTACTAAGCTTACATCAGAGTATTAATCAGATTTTTTGACTCAATAATACAAACAATATGGTCTCATGATACTGAAATTGAGGCGATGCCTGAAATGGCAGGACAGATTGAGTAAGACTACGAACAGCCCGTTTCAATTAGGGACTTATTAATTATATAAAGAACCCAGAGAAACTTACGAATAGTTTATGAAATGCAGTAGAACTAGCTTTATGAGTAACTTTCTCCTCAAAGTAGAGAAGGACCTACAGCCTACCTTGAAAATAACCAAATCATTAATAGACAGTATTTGCACTTTTCAAACCTCAGTCAGTATTTCATGTATGCACAATTTAATTATTCTGTTTTTACATACTCAGATGTCAGTTAATGCAGGCTGTATATAAGCAAAATGTTTTCTTTCTTGAGAAGAGCTCGCTTATGCTGGCAACCTAATTCTTGATAGCAACTAAAAAACAGCATTCATTTAGATTGGCATGGAAGTCTGAAACAGGCTTTACAAATCTCAAAGTTGTTCAGAACAGCTGGAACAGTAATTAGATTTTAATTCTCAATTTTTGCTTTTCAAAGAGCTCCTTCCATTTCTTAGAAATGAACCAAAATTTTAGTTACAAACATCTCTATAATTTCAGATATTCAAAATACGACTCCTGAAAGTTCATGGTCCCCTCTCTATTTATGAAAAGTTTTCCCATTTTAAATTTCAAATTAGTCAGTATATGCAGCATTGCCCCACTGTACTATGAAAACTACCACTACATTGTTCTGGTAGGATGCTGATTTTATGACTTTTAGACGGTGTCTATAATGGTGTATAATGGTTTAGATGGTGCCTACATAATTTTGTGCTTAGTGCCTCTTCATTGCGTTCATATTTCCATTCGTCTCATCATGTTGATCATCTGTGCATGAACAGATGGCTGATATGTTTTTATAATCTAGAGAAATAATTAGAATAGACAAAACCAAATTTCAAGTCCAGATTTGTATTTTCGCAAGCTTTTAACTATGGCGTCCATTGTAGTAAGTATGTTTCCTTATAGCGGCATAATTCACATTTAGTAATTCACTGTAGCCACACAAATAAATGAAAGCACTACAAAGAGCATAATTGACCTTGAAATGCATAAAACTGACAACAGTTAGTTAAATGAATTAACATGGGAGGTCATCTTACCTGCCAGGCAGAAGACGAAACAGGGTGTAATAAGATGATAGATGAAGAGCCACATGGTTATCTTCTGTTCAGTGATTATCTCAAAAGGAATTGTGCCTTGCAACACCAGCATTCAGAGAGCTAAAATACCTGATTAGAGAGAAAGAAAAAGGAGTGAGTAATTCTGACATAAGGCTTTATCTCATATCACATTTCACTTGCCATATTATCTGTCTGAACTCAATACTTAGAAGTTAATATAGGATGGAGACTTGTGAATAATAAATGCATTATCAAATTTGCTGGATCAAATTCATGATCTCTTTGAATCTGAAAGCACACTGTTTAAAAGTACTCAGATTTTCCAGTGACAGTAATATTGTAAATATTAATACTGAATATCATCTTTTAAACTCATCTTCCTAAACCAAAACTTAGTCAGATCCTCTCTCTGTGAACACTTCACATTATTAGAAATATTAAAATATTACAAAGTTTGCAAAAAAATAGGAAAGTCCAGATTCTATTCTCCTTCATCTCAGTAAATACTACATTACAATTAATTAACAAGAAAATTACAGTGAAAACAAAGTACACAAATGTCTTTCAGCATTCATTTATTTTGTCTAGTATGCCATTCCTTTTAAACTTTTAACAATTCATGATCCTCCGGAAAGGTGGTATTAGTTTCCTTTTAAATGTTGAATATAATCATTACTGAAATGTCGTATTTGAAGTTTTCCCTATAGGTAAAATTCTGCCTGTATATACACTAAAACCAAGCTAAAGAAACATGCAGCTTCTTTTGAATATTTTAAAATTTTAGATAACAATTTCCAGAATACTTTACTTCTATAACATTTTTTACTTTTTTCAATCAGAATATTTTGCTGGCTTTTTCTTTCTGGCTCGTGGCTGTTATCTATTTCTTTAGGGCAATGTGTCGTCATGTTTGCAGTGTGCAATTTTCCATTTTGTTTAATGGATTTCTTGCCATGAATATATAAATGTATCCTTAACACCATCACATCTTGTGGATACCTCTTCTCTTGATTGGTTCTGCTGTAGCAGTGGTTAACTTACGACCTTCACACAAAGCAAGGCTTCCAGAGAGTATTGTTCTATCTCAGGCACGTGCTGATATCATCCATTCCGCTCAGAATACTCGTTTTGTTACTTCATTACAAAATATGCTTATACATACTAGAATACGCTTCGGTAACATGCATCCTAGGACATGTTGCATGCTAACACGGCATTGTCACTTTTTGCAGGATGTAACCTTGATGATGCTGCTGTTTTCCAGCTTCCCACACCAAGTACTGATAACTGTGATAGTGTCTTCTACCTTTTACCGAGACTCTTGCTCTTCCCAGGTCACAATTTTTACTAAATCGTTTTATTTTTCCAAAATCAAATGTTTTGAAACTGCCAGGTCTCCCACTCTAACATCAAGAAATGGGCAGTTTTGAATTTCAAAGTACCTGTATAAAGAGATCTGACTCCGTAAGTATGCTTGGGATAAATGCTGCTCTGATTAACAGAGAGCCTCTCCTGAGCTGCTGCCGGACAGGCCTGTCTCAACATACCTGTTGTGTCTCATGTTCCTAGCCTTGAGATGGCTAGGAACATGTCTCACCCACTGGGGCCCTACAGTTGTCCCCTCTTCCTCAGAATAACGCTAAGGAGATGCTTATCTGAACATGCCTCAGATAGTGAGCTTTCCTTAGAGAGAGTTTCATGGGGTGTTTTATTAAACTCATAATGTAGGAAAATGGTAAGAAATATCACAAGATAACCTTTTTGGCTCAGAAATTACAGGAGCTGTTCCACTTCAAACTTTTTTCCTTTGTTTTTTTTAGCAAATGAAATCTTTAATAAAAAGGTCAAACCTGTATTAGTTGCCATGACCCTAAGACCATAGAATCATAGAATAGTTTAGGTTGGAAGGGACCTTTAAAGGCCATCTAGTCCAACCCCCCTGCAATGAGCAGGGACATCTTCAACTACATCAGGTTGCTCAGAGCCCCGTCCAACCTGACCTTGAATGTCTCCAGGGATGGGGCATCTACCACCTCTCTGTGCCAGTGTTTTACCACCTTCATTGTGAAAAATTTCTTCCTTATACCTAGTCTAAATCTACTCTCTTTTCGTTTAAAACCATTACCACCTGTCCTGTTGCAACAGGCCCTGCTAAAAAGTTTGTCCCCGTAACATGGCTGTTACATGAAAACAGCGCTCAGCAAAACACAGACAAGAGCTAAACAGTGATCCCCAGCAGCAAGATTTATTTAGAAATAATCCCTGGAAAAAAGGCTCTGTATTGGCAACAAATGCATGTGCTTACCGTAGCTGGATCCAAGGGGAAGAGTTTACTAAATGTCTTTCTTTACCCTCCCGCTTATCTTAGCACTAAAGTTTCTTCAGACTCCAGCATTATTGTGTGCTCTTCTACAGAAAGGATATTCACAACTATTTCAGGCATCTACCTTAAATGAATAAGGTATGAACATACTATACGATTCCATATGTACACGATTCTATGCTATATGATGTCTATATGAGTGCAAGAGCTCTCAATCCCCAGGTGTAAGAAACCAGGAAAGGAAGGCAAGAGGCCGGCATGGCTGAGTTGAGACCTGCTGGGCAAACTAAAGGGCAAGAAGGAAGCACAGGCAGTGGCAGCAGGGACAGGTATCCTGGGATGAGTACAGGGACGCTGCCCAGTTGTGTAGCGATGAAGTCAGGAAGGCCAAGGCGCGGCTGGAGCAGAACTTGGCAGCAGATCCGAAGAATAATAAGGGTGGCTTCTACAGGTATGTCAGCCAGAAAAGAAAGGTCTAATAATGTATAACCCCGCTGATGAGGAGAAGGCTAGGGGTTCAACAACTTCTTTGCTTCAGCCTTCACTGTCTATCTCTCTTCCCACACCTCTCGAGTGGATGCGCTGCAAGATGGGAACTGGAGGAGTAAAGTCCCTCCCACTGTAAGACAACATCAGGTTCAAGACCACCTAAGAAACCTGAACATGCACAAGTCTATGGGACCTGATGAGCTGCATCCCAGAGTCCTGAGGGAATTGGCTGATGTAGTTGCCAAGCCACTCTCCATGATATCTGAAAAGTCCTGGCAGTCAGGTGAAGTCCCTGGAGACTGGAAAAAGGGAAACATTGCATACATGCTAAAAAAAGGTATCAAGGAGGACCCTGGGAACTACTGACTTGTCAGCCTCACCTCTGTGCCTGGGAAGATCATGGAACAGATCCTCCTAGAAGCTATGCTAAGGCACATGGAGGGCAGGGAAGTGATTTGAGACAGCCAGCATGACTTCACCAAGGACAACTCCTGCCTGACCAACCTAGTGGCCTTCTAAGGTGAAGTGACCGCATCAGTGGACAAGGGAAGAGCTACCAATGTTGTCTATCTGGACTTCTGTAAGGCCTTTGACATGGTCCCCCACAACATCCTTCTCTCTAAATTGGAGAGATACAGATTTGATGAGTGGACGGTTGAGTGGATGAGGAATTGGATGGATGATCGCATCCAGAGGGTAGTGGTCAAAGGTGCAATGTCTAGATGGAGATCAGTGATGAGCAGTGTCCCTCAGGGGTCTGCACTGGGACCAGTACTCTTAAATATCTTCAGCAGTGACATAATGGGATTGAGTACACCCTCAGCAAGTTTGCAGTTGACACCAAGCTGAGTGGTGCAGTTGACACGCCTGAGGGACGGGATGCCATCCAGAAGCACCTGGATGAGATCGAGGAATGGGCCCTTGGGAACCTCATGAGGTTCAGCAAGGCCAAGTGCAGGGTCCTGCTCCTGGGTTGGGGCAACCCCCAGTATCAGTACAGGCTGGGGGATGAAGGGATTCAGAGAAGCCCTGCTGAGAAGGACCTTGAGGTACTGGTGGATGAAAAGCTGGACATGAGCCAGTGATGTGTGCTCGCAGCCCAGAAGGCCAACCATATCCTGGGCTGCATCCAAATAAGCGTGGCCAGCAGGTCAGGGGAGGGGATTCTGTCCCTCTACTCCGCTCTGGGGAGACCCCACCTGGTGTCCTGCGTCCAGCTCTGGAGCCCTCTGCACAGGAAAGACATGGACCTGTTGGAGCGAGCCCAGAGGAGGCCACAGAAATGATCAGAAGGATGGAACACCTCTCCTGTGAAAACAGGCTGAGAGAGTTCTTCCCTGGAGAAGAGAAGGCTCTGGGAAGACCTTATTGCAGCCTTCCAGTACTTCAAGGGAGCTTAGAAGAAAGATGGGGACAGACTTTTCAGCAGGGCCTGTAGCAACAGGACAAGGGGTAATGGTTTTAAATTAAAATAGGGCAGATTTCGACTAGAACTAAGGAAGAAATTTTTCCCAATGAGGGTGGTGAAACACTGGCACAGGTTGCTCAGAGAGGTAGTAGATGATGTCGCATCCCTGGAAACATTGAAGGTCAGGCTGGATGGGGCCCTGAGCAGCCTGATCTAGTTGAAGTTGTCTCTGCTCATTGCAGGGGGGTTGGACTAGATGACTTTTAAGGGTTCCTTTCAACCTAAAGATTCTATGATTCCGCAAAAAGACAGTGGTAGGCTACATCAACAAATGACTTGGTATACTTTTCCAGCAACCATAGCCTGGCTATGAAGCTTCTTGTCTTATGACACTGCCTCGTGTGGAACATTTCTTTCCAAGTGACGTGAGTTAAATTGCATAGTTATGCTGAAATAATGCAGATAATTAAACAGCAATGAAACAGGAACTCTGTTGGGAATAACGGTAATTACACAGTAACTCATGGTGATAATAACTGTGTTCAAATGTATCGATAGATGAAACTGTTAAGAGTAAACCTGTGTTCTCTCTCTGACATTACAGGCATCGCTGAAGACGGAAGATCACTCCCTCTCTTTTGCAAAATTCAGGTTAGATTTTGGAAAGTTACCTTGTTTTCTAGTTCTCAAGAAACTCCTTTATTTCTCAGGAAAAAAATAGTTTGAACACTGGTTCACATTAGAGTAATTTTGTCAGTAGAAGCTATAATTGTCTCATTTTATTCAGATACAAAAATATCCATCCTGCCAGTATTAAAATCCTTTCTTTGCTGTCACTTCTTTCAGCTGAGTGGGTTCTGTACATATAGCACAACCATCCCTCC